GTCTTATTCAGTATTAGTGACTTCGTCGACAATTACCAAAGCGTCTTTCACCCTATGAAATATTTTAACTCATATAATATTTCATTATGGAGTTATCGATCACCGCACCAATTTCAGTCATTTTTCCAAAGAATAATTAGAATTCCTCTTATGTCAAAACACATAAGTTCACATATTTATCAACACTTTGATAAATGATTGACATCCATTTAGAATACATCACATACCAAATCGATATATCAAATATATCAATTAATGCCATCATATGCATAAGAATCCAACCTGTTGTATACCAGAAGTTTTAAGAATCACTTGATACATCCATTTCCCTTTCCATGCACGGAAATTGGCCCTTGCACTACTAAACATGGCCTGGCTTTCTAGAAGCAGAGGCGGTTTGACAATTTGAAAATCACCACAGATGCTAGATTCTTCAATTGCAATAGTAAGTGGTCTACAACTATCATCAGTAGTAAAGACTCCATCCCTATTTCTGATGACCATGTCCAAATTTACATGATACTTATGCTTTGTTTGGTTGGAGGATTTGGAGAGAGATTTGGAAAGGGAAAGGGAAAAGGTGTGTGAAACTATGTGAAATTTAGGCATATTTTAGTCTCATTTCACCTACCTTTTCCATTTCTTTTTCCAAATTCCCCCTCAAATCCCCAACCAAACACAACATTAATGAACTCATTCTTTATTATGGAATGAACTACAGTAGTGTCAAGTGGACATGTCAGTGGATTAATTGTTTTGCAAGGGAGATCGAAAATGTGTTCAAGAGTTCGCTCCACAGATTGTTAACCAAAGCCGTTCCAAGAAGAAATGAGATTGTTCTTCTGAGAACTCGCTCCACTGTCATCACCGTTCAATACCACAACCAATCCAGAAGAAAACCCACCAATCCAAGGCCGTCTTCTGCCATAGTGAGGAAGACGAGCTACTTCAGAAACGGCACAACACCCACCAAAATTCCAAAGTAAAGTTGCAGAAAAGTGCAAATTCGGTCAAACTTCTATCAACACCAATCAACTCCAAAAGAACTTTGAAGCCCTCAAAATCAAACACCCACTTGACCCTGGAATTTCCAATACTGCAATCAAGACAACTACATACAAGCAATATATGCAAAAAACCCAATTCGTGGCATCAATCTTGAAAGCTTCGCTTGGCTATTGAGAAACCAAATGAAATTATATCAGAACAATAATCAATTCTTCAAGACTTCCAACGTTGTGATTCAATCACACACTCAGTCCCTCATTTTCTTCGGAACTCGAGTTTTTCCAGGTTTTTTTTTTTCCCTCTTTGCTCCTCAGTTTCTCAATAACCAAAAAGATCACCAACCGAATTACACAATATTCAAAAAACAAAGCTACAAGACCAAACAAAAATCTACAAAAAATTGGTCTTTCGACGTAGCACGGTACAAATTACCAATGAATTCAAATTCATCTACGTTTGTGCGATGACTGCCATAATATTTATGTATACTCATTGTACTTGCTCTTGTTGCCTCCAGCATTCTTTTGAAATTGTTTTTTGATATTGTACTTGAATTCCAATGCTTTCCATATTTCTCTTGGTGATTTGATTGAAGTGAATAAATCATAGAGTCGATCTGATAATGTGCCTAGAATATGCCCTCTGCAGACCATTTCATCGTCTTCACGTTTCTTACGCTCTCCTTTTATTACATCGGAATCATTGGGTTTTGGGTCTGGTAGTGTTGATAGCTTTAGACCAAGAACATAAGAAATTTTCAATACTCTGTAAAGAAAAATCAACTTGTCTTGGAAACGAGTAAAACGTGTTTTATCGAACTTGTCCAGTTTCACAAACTCTTGATTCATCACCTTAAAAGCCTCCATATCAAAACTGATAGAATTATCACCTTAAAATTGTTAGAACAAGAAGTCAAAAGAAAAACGGAATCAAACAAAATGCGACTTAGAGGCGTGTTGTGGACACTTTCTTTAAGGTGATAATTGCCCCCACTCAAAAGAGTTTGCTGCTAAGAAAAAATAATAACAAAAGAAAACAAGGAGAAATCTGGAGTCCTTTTACATAATCAAAAGTACTAAAGGCACCTTTATGAGAGAATACAACCCTTAGTCTGAATTTTCAAAATTTGAAAATTCTGAACACATGTCTTTCAACTTGAAATGGTGCCTTTATAATTTGAATTTCTATTAGTAACTGCTTGCAACTATTAGTAATAACCACTTAAAGAGTTATAATCCAGTGTATCACCATATGATCTTGATCATATAGAAATACTGATATTCTCATGCATACAGGTATCTCTCTTCAATTAGTGTAAGCAATTTAAAATCCCAAAGAATTCTTTCCCTCTCTCTGGAAACTTAATCATCCTAGCGAGACCAATGCTTTGTTTGGATTTTCGATAAATCTTTTTATTCTCTCTTTGGATAATTTTTTTTAATATAATAATAAAAATGGTTATAGAGTCGAATGAAACAGGAGAACTGTGGAAGAACCGGGCTTGGTCTCTGTAAAAAGAATTGGGAGAGGAAGGAAATGAAATCCTCTCTTCATTTTTTGGAAAATTAAACAAACAAACAGTGAGTATGAATATATTGTTGAAATTCCCAAGAAATTCTCCTTTGTTTGGGTTGTGTTACTATTTACACTAATCAAATTTATTTTGCACTCCCGACCACGCATATGATCAGATAAACAATCCGCTTCTTGGCTTCTTCAGCCAGGTCCCGAACCGTCACAGCCGGCTTTTGGGTGCTCATTTCGGACCCCAAGATTCAATCTTTCACAACACAAAACTCATCAAACATACATAATAATTAATGTTCCCCCCTATAACCCTCAATTCTCTTCCAATCAATACAATCAGATTCTCGAACAACAAAATAAACTCTGTACAACGATCGCATCAATCAATTGAAACGAAAATAATGTAGTAAAAATAACTAGGTTAAACCCGATCAATCAAAACCCAGAAATTCAAAAAATGATCCCACTAATAGTATGTTGCAACTAATCAAACAAAGTCAAATCATACTATGTATACATAAACAAGTAACATCTAAATTATCATAATGAAGATGAACGAAATCCATATTTGAATCAATTTAAAACATTGCATTACTCTTGATATTCATTAATAGAAACATGTTTTGGAAAAGATACAGAGACAACAAATACGTTTACTAAAACACAGTTTTGGACATAATCAATCAATTATATTTTCTCAAAAAACAAGTCTGTCTTAAAATTGTTGGAAAAATAGTACTAAACTATTTGAAAAAATATAATTTAAAAATATATGTAAACGGTTTTTGGGCAAAACCAAACCTGAAATAAATTGACAAAATAACGAAACAAAACTTGCAGCACAAATAGATAAAACCTGATCGAGTCGAGTATGAGATACTCTTTCCTTAACTTAAGACAGATTTGTCTTTCCACCGGTGCTTAGGATTCAATGGACGTCTATCTCCCAGAATAGAACGATCAATGTCTTGCACTAGCAGCACTACTATTGCAAACCTAGAAACTTTGCTGTGGATGTACTCTCTTTGTAAAAAAATTAGACTCAAGAAAATATGAAGAATCAATGCAAAGATAAAGAAGAAAAATGACTAATTCCTCTTTTAATTGAAGTGAGGGAGATGAAATTTATAGACTTCTATAAGACTCTTTGAAAATGTTTTGACTCTTCAAAAGGACACACCTTTCTAACTCAAAAGACACAACCAATGGAGTAAATTTTAATTCAAATTTTCTAACAAAAAATAGATACTGATCGGGTTCTTTACCGACTCTTGACAGTCCATAAAAAAGAAAATTATTTTCAGTGGTGAAAATGCCAAGAGTGCTAGATTTTTTCTCATGTTAGTGATTGCTAGCTATTGTAAGTTCCAAAACTTGAAATCTAATAAAACTGGAAAGATCATTTGTTATCTCAGTTTTTGACATAATTTATGCGACTACGAAGGGGAGACATCATCATAATGCAAGTAAGGTTGCGATAACTAGATCTCGACTTAGGAGTAGGGGAGACATCATCATAATGCTTTTGTTTTTGTGTGTCTTTGTTTTCTATGTTTGATTGTGTCCTTGAAATTAATGTACTAATAGTTAACATTAGTGGTGAGATGGTGGTGATGGGAAGGTGTTGGCAGGCTAGTGGACGTGATGGTGTCGGTGGTAGTGTTATAATATTAGTAAGATGTTGGTTTGGAAATAACTTTTCGTCTTTTTAAATTGAAATATTTTGTTCAAATGAGCCTATTTTGTGTTGACTAAAAATATTTTTCTTGACTTTTAATTTTTATTATACTAAAATATCAAAAAATACAAAAAAAAAAAATACAAAAAAAAAAAATTAAAAAAATATGTTTTGTCGAAATAAAGGAGGTAATTTTCATGTTTTTCAGCATCACTCACAACTAGTGAAAGTAGTAGGATTTATGTTAAAATTTTACCCCTTAGTTTTTATTATTCGATGGGTTCTAATGTTGAATCTTTTTAAATTTTTATCAAATTTAAATTTGATACAAAGTATTTAAAAATTATTTTCAATAATTTTATCAAATTAATAAAGACTCATTTTTTTTTTATCAAATTAAAAACTTAATAAATTTTTATCAAATTTAAATTTGAGGGAGAAAAAAAAAAAAAAAAAGAGTTGAATAATGATTGAAAAAGATTGAAGATGCTCACTTTACCACACCAAAAAACCCAGCAATCATATATTGAAAAGCAGCAACATAGTTCACACCCCTTCACTCACGATCCAACCATGAGATTCATCGTTTCTCGGAGTAGGACTCGTCTCTCCGTCCGCAAATTCCTCTTCCTCTGCACTCTCTTCTTCTTCACTACTCTTGCTCTTTTACTACTCCTCAACCTCAACTCCTCCATTGATCCCCCCACCACCGCTTTTTCTCTTCCTCCCAAAGCCCTTCCTGAATCGCTGCACCCTTTGGATCCTCTCAAACCAAATCCTAGCTCTCCGATCCGTCGGAGATCGCCGGTTCAGTCCTCGTGCGCAACCGTCGAAGAAATGGGGGAGGATGCTTCTTCCGAGGTAGCTACTCGCAAGGAAAGCCTCAGAGTTCGAAGAATCATTCGTTACCATTTCGAATTTCATGGTACGTTTCGTTTCTTGCTCTGTTTGGTTGCTGAGAAAAACGGAGGAAAAAATAAAAATAAAAATAAAAAATAGAAAGGACATGTTTTGACTCCTCTGTTTTTTCAACTGTCAAATTGTGTCTTCAAAGCTAGCTTCAATTATTGGAACTCTTGTGATCTTGATGTGTGCGAGATTTAATTATTCATTTCTCTTTGTGATTTTCCAATGTCTGGCCCATTAGTTCCGATTTTGAAGTTTAATAATTTCTGAACTGTGTATGAGTACCAAAGTCAATTGCGGATATTTTTTTTTTTTTTTTTTTTTTTTTTTTTTTATAATTTAGATCTTATATTATTCATTTAAACTTGTAGGAATAACTGTAGTATGTTCAATTGTAGTTGGCTGGAGTTATTCTATATTGAATTGCTTTTGTACAATAGTGTATTGATTGAAATCGGGAATTTCCGGGGTTTGAAGTGTGTAGGAGCTTCGACAAATTTGATTAGTGTGATGAAATGGAAAAAAATGATTCATAAAGCCAATCTACTCGATTTGGACAAAAAGCTTAGTTTGGTATGGTTTGGCTTTTTAAATTGGTGCTTCAGTCTCTGTTTCAGAGTTCTTGCTTGTAGATAGTGCTATTAGTTTTGGCGGGGCCAAGAAGGTATAGTTAAGATATCTCTGGTGTCCTCTATGCTTTGGGGCGTGTATAGCTTAAAGATCAACTTCAGGAAGGCTAGTTCGATTCCGATCCTGGAGCTAGCGGATGGCGTGCAATAGGCATGGTAGAGATTTGGGATGTAACATTTCCAACCAGTAGGGCAGACACTTTGTAAAATTTGTGCCGAAGGTTAGGTATATGCCTAATCTGCTCCTCCCAGACCCCCATCTAGTGAGGACTAACCGGGTGTAGTTTAGGTTTTTAAGATTTCCAACCAGTTTATTGGGTTTACTTCTAGAAAGTGGAATCTGTCTTGGGGTTGGTAATTGACAGCTTTGATACAAGGTTAGCAAGTTGGAAGAGGTTGTACATTAATGGGGAAAAGAGGTTACCCTAAAAAAAGCACATTTTTGGCTTACTTTTGTATTTTTTTTCATATTCACCATTGCAGGCTTGCAGCTTTTGTGTCTGAGAGGCTTCGGATGCGCCACAGAAATTTTCTGCTGTCATTGAGTCCAAGTATCATTTGGTGAGATAGGATGTTGTCTGCTCTCCCTTAAAGGGGCATTTCAGCCAACCAATTTGGAGCTAGATAAGCACTATATTGGTGCAGTTTGTGGAGAAGGGTGGTAGATGAAATTTTCATGAATTTATTAATTTATGTGGGTTGGTGGAAAGGGTATGCAGACTAATTGAAATGTGTTTGTTTTCTAACAGGAAGGCCAGAGGTTGTGTTTCTAGCATGACACTTGGTGTATAGGGATGATGTTCTGGAGGGGTTGTTCATGCTGTGGACAAGAAGGCTTTCTTAGCAAATAGAGTATACAAGTTTCAAGAGAGTTGAGTGGCAGGCTTCTACCTCTGCTAAAGCTTTGTAGATTAGGATTTAGGATCGGACTGTACTTTCTTTGGGCTGTTCTACGATACTTTTGCTAGTGTTAGGGTGTTTTACTGAGATGGAAGCTTCCAGAAAGATCTTTTGGGGTATGAGTTATGTGTGGCAATGGTGTTCCCTTCTGTCATTGGAAATATGTTTAGCATACCAAGTACTTTTTAAAGTAGGGCTTTTTATTTATTTATTTATTTATTTTTTATTTATGTTTTTTGTTTTTGGGATAGCCTTAAGAACTATCATGGCAATCAACAATCTAGTGCATAGGAATGAAGTCCTTACTATTGATGTTGCTTGTGTAAGAGCACAAAGGAGAATGTTAATCATCTTCTATTGTATTTTAGGTTTGCAAGAGATCGACAGAGGTTTGTTTGTCTCTTTTGTAGTACTCTAGCGTCATCCAAGACCAGTTGGTGAGGTTTTGGATTTCTGGCACGGAGATTATGTTAAAATGCTGGCTTAGTTTGGTGTTGAAGGTAGCTCCATTGCGTCTGAGGTGGACTGTGTGGAAGGAGTCTAATGGACAATTATTTTGAGGTTTTAAATTCTCAAATCATAAGCTCAAGCAATTCATGTTCATGTCATATATTGTCTATCAACAGGATTCACTTTTTCTGTAGGTTCTTTTGAAGATAATTATGTGATACAAGTTTCCTTATGGAACCCTTTTTTTTTTTGTTCCTTTATTATTATTATTTTTTATTTTTGGTTTTTCCACGGACACATTGACACGTTAATTTTCAAAAAATGTAGGACACGACACGTGGGGGACACGCATGAAATATATAATTTTATATATTTATTATATGTTATATATATAAATATATCATTCAAAGCTAATAAAAAAATGCAATATGACATTGATAGTAGTTCCTATAAATTTATATGAGTTTTGTTTTATTATTGTATTTTAAGTTATTTTATTCAAATTTGTAATTAGTTTCACATGTGTCTAATCGATACGTACGTGTGTTTAAGCGATTGACACGTATATCCTTCAAGTGTTCAAAGAGTGTTCGGGTCTTTAAAAATTTTTAAAAAATAAGACACGTTTTGAAGAGTTTTGAAGAGTGTTGGACACGTGTCCAAAGAGTATTGGTGTCCGACACGGACATGACACGGATACGTCACCTTCTTAGAAGTGTCCGTGCTTCTTAGAGTGTTGGTATTCACCACGTGAATGTGGGTAGCACCACTTTGTGTTGCGTTCTTATGAATTTTAATATAAAACAAATATCTATTGTAGACCAAATAATTTGCATTGCCATCATGTTTCTTTCTGAAATCATGTTTACAATAACCTTACCATTCTTACTTAAAGATTATAAAAAAAGCAACCTTTGATGCCAGCATGAACATGTCTGATTGTCATTAATCATTATGTATGGTTCCAATTTCAGGAGCTCCTACAGTTCGAGGTCTGCCACCTGAGCAGTTCTGCAGACATGGTTTTGTGTTGGGCAAAGCATCAGAGGCAGGTCTCGGAAATGAAATGTACAAGATATTGACTGCTGCTGGATTGAGTATCATGTTAAACCGGTCACTTATCATCGGGCAAACCAGGCATATTGGTTCTTTCTCAGGCCTTTCTTTCTTTCTTCCGTTCTTTCTTTCTTTCTTTCTTTCTTCTTCTTCTTCTTCTTAGCAATACATAATCTTCTTCTTCTTCTTCTTCTTCTTCTTCTTCTTCTTCTTCTAAATTAATAGCAATACATAATTAGCTTTTAGCTTGATCTGTGTATATTACTAAATTTAGTGTGGATAATCACCACATCCTGCACTTACATGTATCAGTCTCTTCTTGGTGGTTTTGGCTGCTGCAATTTGCAGATTATGACTCTACACTTACTCTTAAAGACATTCATCATCCTATTGATTTTGCAAGACTTTAGGCTTAGTTCATAATGTTATACGACAATGGACCAGTGTAGTCTTGACCAGTTGTAGGTTTAACTTGATACTATGCCCTCACTATTTGTTGCGGCATTAAGGTATGTGCGCTGACTACTACTACACTTCCATATCTGCAGGGGCAAATTTCCATTTGAGAGTTATATTTCTTATACCAACCTTGCTTTTACATTGAAAGAAGTGAAGCATCTATGGAGATTGAATGACTGTATGGGTAAGTATGGAAGGCGTCTGATTGTGAGAACTGATGATTTTGAGAAGCCCAGTGAAACAAATGTCCTATGCAGTAATTGGAGAAAATGGAAACAGCCAATCATATGGTAAAGTAAGAACATTATTTTGGCAACAATAAATTTCTCAGTTTTCATCATTTTCATGAGGGTTCGTTCATCAGGTTCCAAGGTACAACAGATGCTGTAGCTGTTCAGTTTTTCTTGAAGAATATACACCCTCAGATGAGGAGAGCTAGTTCTGCGTTATTCGGGAAGACTGAAGTTCTCCAGTCTAGACCTAATACATTTGGAGAGCTTATGAGATTTATCATATCTCCTTCAAGAAATGTCGAAGAAGCTGTCGATTGGGTGCTTAATGCAGGCCCTGATCCTCATCTTGCTCTGCACATGCGCATGCTAATGAACAGGTTCGTCATCTAAATTATTTGTATTAGACTCTTTGCCTAATTTTCTAGTGGAAAAGTAAATGATAGAATTATGGGTGTAACTCTGCTTGACCACAAGGTTATGGTTTGCTTATAGGTCTCCAAGAGCCGTAAAGGCAGCGTTGAATTGCGTTAAAAAGGCCCTGCTTAGAAATTGCAACCGGGTATCGAGACCTCGTGTGGTTTTGGTATCTGAGACACCATCAGTTGTTAATGATATTACACCAAAGCTGCAGGAATTTGCAGAGGTAAATTGCTTAGCAAAAGAGCTGCATACTTGGATCTTTGTATTGTATGTAAACATTCTAAATTATCACATTACAGCACTTATTTCTATCAAACTGGGTCATTCTCTGCCAGGTTCTTCATTTTGACTACAATTTGTTCGAAGGAAATATTTCAGCTAAAAAAACAGCTAGAATGCAGCAGTTAGGTTATAGAACAAGGGACTGGGGACCTGCACCAAGGTGGGTCGCTTTTGTGGACTTCTTTCTTGCTTCACGTGCTAAACATGCTGTTGTTTCGGGGGCCCATAGACGTATTGGAACCACCTACGCACAGCTTATCGCGGCATTGGCAGCGGCTCACCAACTTGGTAAGTCAATAGCTTTAGTGCTGTTGCGACACATCCAGCAATGCCTACTTGTTATTTACATTTTCTAATTATTTTTTTTTCCCCAGATGAAAACTATGCTACAAATTTCACGTTCTTCAGCAGTTTTCAAAGTAATTTGTTATCTGAAGGCTTGCACAAACAAATTGGATGGGGACATGCCTGGAATCGATTTGCAGGTCCATTGAGTTGTCGTAATCAACGGAATCAATGTGCAATCACACCACTTCTTCCCCCTGGCTGGTGGGATGGGATTTTTCAATCACCTATTCCACGGGACATTCGCAGATTGGAAACATACGGTGTTAAACTCACCGGTTTTGGTACTGTTGATGAAAACCATCTCAACTCTTTTTGTAGGTCAAGGAAAGATACCGTGAAAACCATTCCAGTTACTCGCCGATGTAGTGGTTTGACCTGTGCTTAATTTTTGGATGTTTGAATGTTCTATTCCTTGCCCTGCTGCTGTGGACCTCAATTCTTTCAAAATTACTTCATTTTAGATGCATCTGTTGGTATTGCAATCTGTTGGCATCTCATTCATTTTTCCTGGACTTGAAAAAAAATACACTGTTTCAGTGAAAATTTGGACAGTTGTTGTGCTTGTAATAAATGCATTATATCAGCGTAAACCATCAAATCAATCTCTTAATGAATTTCAAGTGAAATGTATGGTTTTTGTTAGATATTAAGCAATCTGTTTGGTTAATTCAACAGGCAGAGCATCCTTGTTTTAGTGCAAATCTTTCTCTTAAAGTGTGAGATTTCACCCACAACTTAGAAGGCATTGTATACCTGAGTTATAATCGAGGAAGACTAATAAAATGAGGGAAAAAAAGTGGAGCTTTGGTCATAGCATCATAAGATTTTAGTAGTACGAATATTTGTTAAAAGTGTATTGTTTGACTAAAATTGATGAAAATGAGATTATTTTTTCGTTGAGTATTTTGTTAAAGAAGTGTTACAATGGAGCTGGGATAGTGTGAGTTAGTGTAATATGTTAAATAAATTCGAGGTTTACTAAAATATGTACGATTATATATAAAAAGAATTAAAATTTTAAAAGGTGGTTATAAATTCAATTTTTAAATTTATTTGGTAATCTCTTTTGAGGCGTTAAATTTTTGAAAATAGAGTGGTTGTGTGCCAAACATAACAGTCACTCTTGTGCGCTCAATAGGGCCTATTTCAGATTCTATTTTGATAATTCAAAAGTTCACTTTTAAGATTTATCGAGTAGAATATACTTATAAAAAATTAAATTGATTGGGCATTATTAACTTTTTCATCAAATTACATTTGTATAAAAAAAGAATGATAAATATAATTTTTAAGTATAAAATTAAATGCAAAAGTTATTTGATGAAAGAGTTAATCTTCAAAAATAAACGATTTGAATGGTTAATGTACGAACCAGAGTGGTCCTATCAGGCTCACAATAGGAACTGTCGTGCTACAGTGATTTTCTAGTTTTGAATTTATGAAAAAAAACAAAGAAAAATGCTTGAGAGTACTAATTAGTGCTTCCACTAATTAGGTGGCAGTGGGTCCCGTCATTAATGATGTGATGTTTTGGTCTTGGAGTTGTATTTTTTTTTTACTTTTTTAATGCATTAGTGCTATTAGTGGTGATGTTTTTAGTGGGATGAATCATTGTTGAAAAACAAAAATATATCTCTTATATTGGAATTCTTCAAATCTATTTTGAATTGCAAAAAAAAAAAATGATAAATTGATATATTTATGATACGAATTTTACTGAGTTAGAATTTACATTTTTGTTATGACCTATTGTTGGATTAGTTATGACTTTTTTGTTAGTTTATTATGATTATTATTTTGGTTATCCCTGAAGAGGTTTTTGATATGTTTAGTTATGATCATTGGTTATAACATATTGTGGTATTTGTTATGATTCAGTTATGATCTATTGTAATTGTAATTTTGATTAGGGCGAATTATATTAATGGTCTCTATAGTTTGGGAATTGTGTCACTTTGGTCCTTGATTTTTTTATTGTGTGACATTTGACCTTGAATTTTGAATCTTGAATCTTGTTCCAAATAAGGATAATTAAAGATACCATTGACCAATTTCAAGGGTAAAACCATCAATTTGATGAAATATAAATGAATTTGAAAAAAATAAATGTCAAAAAAAATATTTTTGAATTTTTAAAAATTATTTCTACCAACCAAAGATAAAATTATGTAAAATTAATAAATCTTTTATACATTTATTTATTTATTTATTTTGCCAAATTAAATTTTATCATGTGTTTGGATGATGATCATGTAATGAGTGGTTGTTAGGCTTTTAATGTGTAATCGATATATTTAATATATGAAATGTTTTTAGTTTTAAATTTTTTGATTTAATGGATTGGTTTAACAATGATATCAAAGTTGTTGCCATATTTGACTTTTAGAAAAATAGAAAATAATTTAATGAAAAAAAAAAAACCACTCATTACATGATCATCATTCAAGCACATAATAAAAATTAATTTGGTAAAATAAATAATAAATAAATGTATAAAAGATTTATCAATATTGCATAATTTTATCTTTGGTGAATAGAAATAATTTTTAAGAATTCAAAAATATCTTTTTGACTTTTATTTTTGTCAAATTACTTTATATTTTATCAAATTGATAATTTTACCATTGAAATTGATCAATGGTATCTTCAATTGTTCTTTTTTGGAACAAGATTCAAAATTCAGAATTAAATGTATCACAATTGAAAGTTAGGGACCAAAGTGACATGAGCCATAAACTATAGGGACTGTTAGTGTAATTCCTTCTTTTGATTATGACCAAATATGTTTTGGTTTTGTCTTAAAAATATTTGGTTATGATCTATTAAGTTATGATAAAAACTGATTCGGTTACGACAGTTTGTGATATCAAATCAACATCATAAAGTGTCACACCACAAAGAGTGTGTTTGATTTGGGGATAAGGGGGACTATTTATTGTGTGGATTGTAATCTGGGGGAAGAATCTAATCCGGTGTTTGTTTTTTTTAGTCCGCCGGATATGGAGTCCGGCCGGACTCCTTATCCCCCATATGGGGGGGTGCGGGACAATTTTGGAGAGACTATTTATTGTTGGGATTAGGTAGTGAAATGATCATTTTGACCCTCTACTATTTAATTATGTATTATATTTAATAAAATTTAAATGTCTCAATTTCAAAATAAAATAATTTTATTTAAATTTTTATTGATGTTTTATTTATTTAATTTTTAAAAATAATTTTTTATAGATATTTTATTAATGTTTTATTTTAAAATTTTGTTTATATTTTATTTAATCTCATTATTTAAATGTTAATAGATGTTTTATTTAATTTCATTGTTTAATTATTATTATTTTTAAAAACAAATTTATTTAAAATTTTAATTAAAAAAATAATATAAATTTTTATT